AAAAAAGTTAATATATAAGTCATAGAATTGGTATAAAAGTATCGACCAGGGAAAAGTCATGCAATGATGAAGTACCGGATATGGTCCCCTGTGTCTGGCTCCCTTAGGTGCAATGCCTCACTTTGGACCGGCTGTAAAGTCCCGTGTGCTAGGAAGGTGGAACTGATGTGGGTGGCTCATGTTGGGTGTATTGACCCCTCGTGACATGACCCTTCCTTTTGTTAATTTTATTATTTATTTTTATTTTTTAGTTAAAAGGAAACATTTTTTAAAAAATTAAAAAAGATAAAAATTCGCTAATTGATTTGATTGGTTACATTTGTAATATACAAAGATCCATCAATCAATAATATTAATAATATTAATTAGTAGCAACGACAACAACGAATCATCGTTTGTTGAGGATGATAAGATCCAGTTTGTATAGGAGTGATCGAAGTAAGCGCTAAGACAAGATTTATAAGCTTTCAAAATATTCTAACGAATGTTTTATCAAATATTCAATAGTTTGTATAAGTAAGTTTTAAGGACAAGATCTATGAAGCTTACAAAATATTCTAACGAACATTTTATCAATTACCCAATAGTTTGTACAAGAGTTAAGGACAAGATCTATGAAGCTTACAAAATATTCTAATGAACGTTTTATTAATTATTCAATAGTTTGTACAAGTGTTAAGGACAAAATCTATGAAGATTGCGAAATATTCTAACGAACGTTTTATCAATTATTCAATAGTTTGCACAAGTGTTAAGGACAAGATCTATGAAGATTGCAAAGTATTCTAATGAACGTTTTATTAATTATTCAATAGTTTATGTAGGAATAATCGAAGTAAGTTTTAAGGACAAGTTTACAAAATATTCTAACGAACGTTTTATTAATTATTCAATAGTTTATGTAGGAGTAATCGAAGTAAGTTTTAAGGACAAGATCTATAAACAAAATATTCTAACGAACATTTTATTAATTATTCAATAGTTTTATGTAGGAGTAATCGAAGTAAGTTAAGGAAAGATCTATGAACAAAATATTCTAACGAACATTTTATTAATTATTCAATAGTTTTATGTAGGAGTAATTGAAGTAAGTTTTAAGGGCAAGATCTATGAACAAAATATTCTAACAAATGTTTTATTAATTATTCAATAGTTTTATGTAGGAGTAATCGAAGTAAGTTAAGGACAAGATCTATGAACAAAATATTCTAACAAACGTTTTATTAATTATTCAATAGTTTGTGTAGGAGTAATCGAAGTAAGTTTAAGGACAAGATCTATGAAGCTTGTAAAATATTCTAACAAACGTTTTATTAATTATTCAGTAGTTTGTGTAGGAGTAATCGAAGTAAGTTTTAAGAACAAGATTTATGAAGCTTGTAAAATATTCTAACAAACGTTTTATTAATTATTCAATAGTTTATGTAGAAGTAATCGAAGTAAGTTTTAAGGACAAGATCTATGAACAAAATATTCTAACAAACTTTTATTAATTATTCATTAGTTTGTGTAGGAGTAATCGAAGTAAGTTTTAAGAACAAGATCTATGAAGCTTGCAAAATATTCTAACAAACGTTTATCAATTAATTAATAGTTTGTGTAGGAGTAATCGAAGTAAGCTTTAAAGACAAGATCTATGAACAAAATATACTAACGAAAGTTTTATCAATCATTCAATAGTTTATATAAATTTCTCTTTTATTTTAACTTATATTTAATAACATCACTATAATCATTATTGTTGTTTATTGTTTTAATCATCATTTACATACATATATAGGAATAAATGTAAAAGAAAAATTAATATTTAACACTTGACGATCTTCAAAAATCATATGACTGTAAAATTTTTATTGACTTGCACTATACATTCGAAACTACCTTTTAACAATAAACCAAATGTTGAAGAAATTATTCTAATAAATTAAATTGTGCTACTTGAAGATGTATTTAAAGGGTTGGTTTTCGACTTGGTCGAAGGACAACTCTCTTTCTAACTCTTCTCTTGACCATATCTCTTGATATAACTTCGAAACTACCTCGATATAACGTAACAATAAACGAAATGATTGCCGATGAAGTAAACGTGACCAATTTAAGAGACAAATTTATTTAATAAACAACTCAAAATGATTTTTTTGAATGTTCTAGTAAATTTTCCATTGTTGCCACATCATCCCGTTGTTGGTTCAACATTACCCGAAGTTTAATTTAGTCGTTTTCTTACGTTAAATATCGCATTATGAAATAATTAATAATAATGTCTTTTAATTTTTTTAAAAAAAAATTACAATTAATGTATTTAATTGTTTGACGAAGTGCATCACGAGATGGAAGGTATGGATGTGCCTCGTGAGAGATACTAGCAGTTGTAGTTTGAATAATTTGTGCAGGTGGTTCATTAGTATCTTTTCCGCTCTCTTTTAAAGTATTAACAGTCTTATAACATTGACTCGGCTTGCCTCCGCAGCATGATTATGATCTGTAACTTTTTGGAGATG